CCGTTCCTCCTTTAACCCTACCAAGCTGCTTTTTATCCCCCACCACGCGATATTGCCACTTTCTGGGCTATCGAGTGGCTCCTCTTCGGAGGAATCACTTGTTGGGAGTGACGTGTTTCGATTCTTTCACTCTTCGCTGGATTATGTATTCTAGGCTTTTTAATTCACTTTTTCTTGTTTCAAGTGGCAGTTTTTTGAATTGGAATTTTCTGATTCTGAAAGCGAACATTTCCTGTCGCATTCCCTTTCTCTGTTTCGTTAGCTTTCGGGACTTTCTTGAGTTTCGTTAGTTTCCGGAAGAACGAGACTTCTGGTTTCACAGGTCGTAGACGAGAGAGGGAGTTTAAAAATACGGAGGACCTCTAATTGGCGTCGGCGATTTCGTCTCCTCTGTTGGGAGACGGAAAACGCGGCGATACGCGTGCGCACCCTTTTCTTTTTCCGTCAAGGGCAGTCTGCTTTCTCTCCCGTTAGACAGATCGCACCCTTTCCCCGTTCCACGGGAAAACATCGAGGAAAACCATTAGTCTGACCCGATGATCCCGGTCTCGAAAATGACGGAATACGGAGAAAAGGGAGGAAACTTTCACGGTTGCCTATTTCAGCAAGAGAGATGCACGAAAGTTGTTATAAATTTGTAAAGTTGTTCCGTACTTTCTGCATGCAAAGCGCGCGTCCTCGAGGATTTTCTTCTCCCTTGGACGGCAACCGACAGGTACACAGGGGACACTATAAATCGTCCTTTAACCCTTTCCACGTTTGGGGCGGGGGAGGAAAAAATCTGGAAGCCGTAAAGGCTGCGTCAAAAAATTTCCCTTTCCGTTCACAACCCTTTCCCTTCTAATCTGCTTTCCCGATGAACGGGAACCCTTCTTTCCTTGCCGCGCCTCGATGTTTACGACGCTTTTACAGTTACGCTTCGTCGTGTGAATCAAAAAAGAGGGACGCGAGCAATTTCTAACTGTTTCCTCCGTCTTTCTTCTAACCCTTTTACATCTCGACCTTGTTTTTCCACGTCGGAGAGAAAAAAAAAAGGCTAGCTTTACCGAGCGGGCAACAGCACTTAGCCCCGCTGCTTGTAACACTTTCCTCTGGAATAGTTGGCGGTGGTAATAAATCGAGAAAAATCGAGCAAGTTTGTCGAAACTGGACGTCTATCGACCACTCCATTGTCCTATGGCCCAGTTTTGCGTTTTCAGGCGGAGCTCTCTGTCCCCGAAATCCCATTTACGACGCCGGTAATAACAGGAATTAAACAGAAAACGTTATAAATAATCGTATCCCGGAGGTTTTTGCCGTGTTTGCAGGAAAAGCTGAAAGAATCGAACGCTTTTACACACCCCTGTACCCCTTTGCGACGGTTACCATTGGCCTAATTGTTCTCTTCGCCGTAGGGATCGCCGCGGTGGAAGCGTATACCGTTTTCTAGCTTCTCTCGTCATAAATATGACGAGAAGCGGACTTGTAGCCAACTCTTGTGACGAACCAGTGACAATCGACGGTGGCAATAAATAACACGATTAGCCTACCATGTTCTATATTTCTAACCGGGTCGTTGAAGAACCCTTGGAAAACCATCTAACGCGTATACCTTCGAATCAAACTACAGGAGAAACGGTCCACATTTACCTCGGCGAACCCCCTGCAAACCTTCCGTCCTTTTATTGTTCTAGAATCCTTTCTTCTCGAACGTTACACGAGAGTTGGTTTAATCGCGCATCGCGTGGAAAATTTCGAAAAATAGTAACGTTAGTGTACAGGTGTGCATAGGTAGCGCGGACCAGCGTTAATTGCTCTCGATATCCTTTTTGTAATTACGCTAGTTTGGTTTTCGCTAATGCGTATACCTAGCAAAATTCCAGGAATTAATTTCGGTTTAGTGTGGAAGAACGTCGTTAGGAATTATAGGGACGTGAAAATA